AAATAGTAGTAAGTACTATAAGTCTGAACCAGAACAAGAACCAGCCAACATTGAGAAATCACAATCACTCAGTTCTGATTCGCGGAACGACAGTTCAGATAAGAGTCTTCCAAAGACTGAAATACAACCACGAAACGAGTTGATCAAGACTAACAAAACACCAAGTCCTAAAATAACTACACGCAAAGCAGTCATATTTGTGAAGGATATATCAAAGTCCCCAGATATAGTCCCATCACCCGTACTTAGAGAAGGACAGACATATATCCCTCCAAAAGAAGACACAACTGAATCTCAGGAAACGAGCGATGAAGAAGAAGATTCAGAAGAAGAGGAAGAGGATTCCAATGAAGATGAAACTAACGAAGATGATGAAAATGATCTCCTACAACTTAATAAAAAGTTGGAGATCAAGAATGCACGTCTTGAAGCACAAACTCTATGGCAGAGCAGAGACATCGTGTGGCTGACCAGAGGAATTAACAAGTTACTGAAACGTGCTAAATTGAAAGAGAAAGATGTCATTGACCGAACAAAAGAACCGGATGACGTATCAATAGAAGAGGTGGACTTTGAGAAATCAGATGAATCAGAACATACAGAAGAACTCCCTGGAGCAGATGATGATGTTTCTTCAATTGACCTTCTACAGATGAAATGCTCTCAGAAGATGATAATGGCTAGGACGAAACCACTTGAAGTTCAAGTCAAAGTGATGAAAGACATCATCAACAAATTGTCGCGAGAGTTGGACGGTTCGAGAAGAGCTGTGCTTGAGAACAAGCGACTCTCTCAGAACTACGAATTGATGAAAGAAGCGAAGCAGAAAACAGATGACGAGATGCTCCACTTGCGGCAACAAGTATACAACTTTCAAAAGTTTGGCCACATCCCACCGGACCATATTCAGTTCACACCGGAGAATTTTGCACGCGTCGTCAATGCGAACAAACAAGTGCTTGATCGAATCAATAACCTGACAAAGGAACACAACGAAATGGTCGAGGAGGTTGAAGGGAAGTTTGAAAAATTGGAAAAATGTTCGATTGGGTACTTGGTTGCCATGTCAGAGATGAAAAAACACCAACAATTTACAGACGAGATGGTGAACTTGATGAAAACTAATAACCTTGCATTTGTCAAAAGTTACAAAAGGAATTATAGCGAGGACTCCACGGACTCTGAGGACGATGAAATAACACGCAATATCAAGATTAAGAGAAAGAAACTCCGAGAAGCCGAAGCAAATAGGAAACTCACAGTGAAAGACGCGTACCGACTGAAAGAAGAAAATTTGAAATTACTCAAAGAACTCATTCGTGTGTCTACAGAGCTTGACCACTTCCATAAAGAGTTTGACGCTTTTGATTACTACGTCACAACCACGGAAACATTGACCAAAGCATCGTTTAAATCGAAGATATCAGCTTGTATGTCAAAGGACCCAGATGTCCAGAGACAATACTCAGATTTTGAGGAAGAATTAAAAAAAGCCAAATTCAAAAACGATTCACTTAAAAGAGATATCGATAACCTCCGAAAGGAACAAGAGGTTGGCTTAGCAAAGATTGCTATCTATCTGCAAAAAGCTCAAAACAGAGGTGATATACTGAGTACCGATTATGACAGCATGAGACGATTTCTTGATGAGTACGTTGACAAAAGGTTTTTCGAGAAGACAAGAGCACTGAACGCGGAACTTGAGGAACTGAAAAGTAAGGAGATTGGCCGAAAGACTTTAATTGGGAAGTATGAAAAGGTACTCAGAACGGATAACACAACACTGAGGAAGATGAAATACAACAAACCCAACGACGAGGATGAAACCGTTCAACAAAAAGATGAGACGACGTCAGTGGAAAAGCCGAGTGAGCCTTCGGACTCAACAGGGACAATGGAACAACTCCTTGGAGATCTGAAGATGCTTCAAACTGAAAAAAGAAACCTCGAAAAGGAATTTGCGAAATTGAAAACTGAAAATGAACAAGTGAAAACCGAAAACAGCAACCTCTCTGATGACATAAGCGACAAAGACGACGAGATAAAAAAGTACGTTAAAGAGAACACTGCTCTGAAGCAAGGCATATCGCTCAACGGCGTTTTGTACACCAAATCAACTATTATCGGTTTGGAGAATCAAGTCAGGAATTTGGCAAAGGAGAAAAAAAGGTTGGAAAGTAAGACTGACAAATTGTTGAAAAAAGTAAATAAAGATGGTGGAATGATGGAAGTGGATGCAGAAATGAAGAAAGTCCGATATGAGGAGTTGGTCAAAATACAAGAGGAAAACGAGGACTTTAAGAAAACCACCACCGAGCAGATTAGTCGAATGAAGACTGAGAAGGAGAAGTTGGAAAAGGACATTGAAGAGAAAAAGAAAAGGTTTGACGAAGAGATCAGTCTAATGAAAGAGGAGAATGAAAAATTGAAGAAACTTCATGTCGAGGAGTTCGACAGAATAAAGGAGGAAAACGAGAATCTTCAGAAAAAGAGCGCCGAAGAGATACGAACAATGAAAGCTGAGAACGAATTCCGCAAAAGTCTGATTATAAAAGAAATCAACAAAATGAAGGCTGAAAATGAAAGAATTGTAAGGGAAAATATGGTATGTATAACAAGTGTGCGCACGGGTGTCGACATCATTATCAAACAAAAGAGAAATATTGAAGCAGAAAATGAAGAACTTAAGAAACAAAACACATTAAAACAGTGAGACTATAAATTACTTTTTGTTAGTATTGGTTTTTATTCAATTTTATTGGAACTGTATATTATCTAATTTTATGTTGAATATTCCTTACAATAAATCGTGTTTTTTCATTATTAAAGTTATATAATTAATTCTTTATATGATTAATTATAGTTAATTATTAGTTATATAGTATTGTATTCTTAAAGTGTTGATATTCAA